ATGGATGGGGAGGGACGACGTCTAGCTGGGCGAACGCATCGGTCTCGTCGGCGACGAACTTTATCGAATTCGTCACTTCGCCAAACAATCCCGATGGGCTGTTCAAGCAGCCAGTTCTCGGGAGCTCAGCCGTCATCTTCGATTACGCCTACTACTGGCCTCATTACTCGCCAATTCTGGACCCGGCAGATGAAGACGTGATGCTCTTCACCAACTCCAAGATCTCCGGCCATGCCGGAAGTAGGTTTGGGTACGCACGTCCCTTCTCTTATCAGCAACGCCAAGACGCTTGCTGAACTCCAAATCTTGAACGCAGGTGGGCGGTGATCAAGGACGAGGGAGTCTTCGAGAGGACCGCAAATTACTTGTCGTTGAACACCATGGGCGTCTCTCGCGACACCCACCTGAGAGTCCTGAAGCTGATCAAGGCCATGATAGCGGAGAAGGGAGGAAAAGGTGACATCTTCGAGTTCGGTCACAGGACGCTGAAGGCGAGGTGGAGCAAGCTGAATGAGCTCGTCTCCTCCTCGAGCCGCTTCTCGCTTCAGCAACACTCTGCTCGCTACTGCAACTACTTCAGAACGATCCGAGACCCTTCTCCAGGCAATGCCCCCTCTCGAGCGAACGAGGAAGAAGATCACAGTATCCTCGAAGTTCACTAACATTGGATCTGTTATGCAGCTTATGCTTGGTTGAAGTGCGAGTGGAAGGAAGAGGACGTCTGCCATGAAGCGCTCAGGAAGGGGAGCATCATCTCACGCTCCGGCGCACTGTTCGAAGCAGATAGCCGCTACACGCGCCTCAGCCTCATCAAGACGCAAGACGACTTCGATCTGCTCCTGAAACGGATGCAGCCTCTCGTCTCCCACGAGGAGATGGCCTCCTCGTGAACCATCGTTTGATTTCAAGGTGGCATCATTGACGACGTGTTGACAACACAGGATCGTGATGCGTGCAAGAATAATTCTCCGAACATGTGAATAAAGACTCGGTAATTGCACGAGCTCATTCTCGTGTGTGTATCGGTCCTTTGTTTTTGTTGTTCAAGAAAGACTTATTAAGTTTTATTAACGTGAATTATATTTATATACTTTAGAGAATTTTTTTTTTATCAAGATCAATTAGTTAAGAGAGATTTTATTAATTAATTATAAAAATCTTATTTTCTATTATGCTCCCACAAGATTAAGTTATTGTCAAGGATGATCTTGAATCGATGCAATAAAAATATTTTATGGGCGAGAAGCTTCGTGAGAGAGTTTGCTAGTTGACCAATGATATGTCAGACAATATGTGATCAATGCTTTATAATAATTATTTAAATTGAGTTAGTTTAGATCTAATTGAGTTGGTATTGCGATGGAATAATGCTAACTCAATTAGAGCCAATTGAGCCTGAATCAGGGTTGAATTGGACATGTTTGGCCCATTTAGTGTCTTGAAACAAGGTCCAACGTTGATACCACCCAGACATAGTCTTCAAAACTATGTCAGATGGTGATACCGTCAGACTAGGCGGTGGTACCACTCAGTGTCAAGGTGTCAAGTGGTAGTATCGTCAGACTAAGCGGTGGTATCGTCCAATGTCAAACTGGCAAGCAGTGGTACCACTCAATATTGACGGCGTACTACCAGTACCCCGAAAAGCTAAGAATTTGAATTTTGGTTCCAAGTTTTGAAGTCATTTGGGGTCTATAAATACCCTACAAATTTCTGCTTGGAATACACACGAAAATAGAGTGATTCCAAAGTTGCAAACTCTTTTAAGTTTAGAGCCCCTCCTTAAGCGCTTAGTGATAGTCCTAAGGGAGGTGTGTGAGGGAACACTTGTAAAAGAGGGGTGTAAAGGTTCTCTCGTAAACCTATGAAAAGAAGAAAGAGTGTAAGGGTAGTTGATATTCACCTATTAAAAAGAAAGTCGATAGTGGAAGCCGATGGTCTCGAGTGAAGAGGAATCGAGAATGAACGTAAGTCACGATGACCAAACCACTATAAATCTGGTATACTCTGGTTTGCATTTACTTTAAGCATTTCATTTTCATTACAAACTGATTTCTTACTTTCACTACGCTTTTGTACACTTTCAAGTTAAACTTATCTTTCCGATCAATTTTCATCGAATGAGAATTTTCTAACCGACGTTTTTACGTAAGCATTAATTCACCCCCCCTCTTAGTGTAGTCACGGTCCTAACAGAATTATGGAGTATGACATCATATTCTTCACACATGCCTTTGCACCATTATAGAGATTTTTGAGCTTGAGTGATGGTGTCGAGTTCAATGGGCTCAGGTGGAGAGTTTGTGATAACATGAAAGTCAATGACTTGACGTAGTATGAAAATGTTACTTTTGGAGTATGATGTCATGAGATGTCAAGTGCGATAAAATTGTTAGGTTATATGGTAGGTATAAGTATTGATAGAGAGTCACTGACATATACCTAGTCAGGTTGAGGCACTTCAGTGTCACTAGGTCCTTTGAGGGTAGTGCTTCATCAATAGGGTGAACTTATGAAGAAGTAAGTAGAGAAGTAGTGGTGAGAGTGAGGAGCTGCTGAACTGGAGTAATAAGAGAGTGCATATCCTAATGGGAAGGACTGGATAGTGTTACGAGAGATTTGTTTGACGAGGTCTAAGGTATACTCCAGTGATATATGGTTGTTGGAATGACTCGCATAACTGAGACCCTTGATTTTGGAAGGGAAAAGTAGACTCCACAAAAATGATATGGTGTGATATAAAAACTTTTTGAGTTTGGGGATCATGACATCGGAAAGAATTATGTTCAATATAGTACCTTATGAAAATGTAAGGCTTGGATCTTGATGTTATCTTAGGTGAAGCATAGGGGCGTAGCCATGGATAACATAAACAACCAAATATTTTGAGTTTTTGAAAGTTTAAGATTTTGTAAAATAGTTTTTCAAATTGTGACTAATATTGTAGGACTAGAGTGAGCATGTAGTTAATGAGGCAAACTCCATTATGAAAGGTTGCTGATCAAAAGGTTGATGGTATGGAGGCTTGATATAGAAGGGTGAGATCAGTTTTAACTATATATCGATGTTTGTGTTCAGTAGAGCCAACTAGTTGAGGAGTATACGGGAGTAACTTGAGATGTTGTTTACCATAGATGAGAGACAGAATGTTAGGACTTGATATTTACCTCTGCCATCAAAGTAAACTATTTTAATTGTAGATTGGAAGTAGTTCTCGACTAACTTTTTAAAGTGTGTAAAGATTGTGAAAACTTTAGATTTATGATTGAGAGGATATAATATATGTACTTAGTAAAATAATCTATGATAATGACATAAAATCTAAAATTATTAAAAGAAGTAGTTAGGGAAATACCCTAAACATCGGTGTAAATAATTTCAAATTGTTTAGAGCAGGATATGGAAGATGTTCTAAAAGGTAGTCTATGACTTCTATTGCTAAGACAAACATCATAATGAGTTATAATACTATTTGTTTTGAAAGTTTCGAAGAGAATAATGAAAAAATAGTTTTTGTTAAATAGAAGACGATGAATGAAAAAGACGATGATGTCACACATCAGTTAGAGCTACAACTAAAGAGTAAACAGTGAAATATATGATTTATGAAGCTGATGATCACGCATAAATATTATCATTCTATAGTTCTTGTGAGAACGACGGGGAGCAACACGACGTAGACGACGATGGGCTCGTGGCGACAAGTGATCACAAGAGCAAAGATAACCATGAGGAAGGGGGTGGCCGCACCGACATATTAGATGATTGGTGTTCATCGAGAGGAGCGCCCGCTCAGTTGCGCTTGGGAAGAGAGCTCTCGAGCTCGCACGAGCGGTTGTATAGTATAGCGACCTTCATTTTGCTGTATTAGTATGATGCTAAATTCTTGGTTTAACAGTTTTAGACAACACATCTGTCTCGAAATTTTTGGAAGTTGGCGAGTTTAGGATCAATGATTCAACGAGAGATTTAAATAAAAACAATAATTATGATAATGACAACGTCGTGTCTTAAATACTTTGCTTGTATGATAACAACAACAAACACAGAGGATTGTTCCAACATTTATAACTACAAAATTGATGATAGATTGTGTAACACCAATCATCCACTCAAGTGTATAATTGTATATCTATCAACAATTATAACGCAAAATTGTATATCTACCAACAATGAAGGACAGTTTTATTTTGTCATAGGGGAAGACGGCGATACGTGGATATGTATTAATAAGATCAAATTATGAGAATTCGATCCGTTATACAACTCCCAGTCTCATGAAATAAAAAGAGGAAACATACCCTGTTATAGATCGGAGAGGCTTTTCTGTGTATGATTGATTGTCTGAATATTTAGACAGACTAGAGAATAATTCCATGTTAAGTCAGGTGGGTCCCATTTCCCTCCGATGCATCCAATCACGAGGCTGGTGGCCGTCGGGGCTTGTATCTAACTAATTCCTTCCATCTAAATTATACGTAGCTCCCCTCACTGACACTTTGATAAATTAACGTATTAAAATCTATAATATTTTTGACATATTTCCTCCCCTTTTCACTATTCTCGAAATATTGATGGATTTGGTCCAAAATTTTAATTATAATATATTTTAAATAAATCTATATTAATTTTTAAAAATATTGTAAATATATTCAAAACACTGACATGGAAATCATCTTATTTTTGTATGAACCAGTTTTGAGTTTTGAATTCGTTTGCTTCTATTATGATATTTTTAATAGACTTATAGTGTTTTTGTGGAGGTATCAAAAATATTATAATTGGCATAGATCCTTCCTATTTGGTTGTATAGGTTCTTAAATATAAATTAAAAAAAGGAATAGTTTAGGAGTATTATTTTTTTTTAAAAAAATAAGATTATAAATAATAATTTTTTTTATTATTTTTATCATAACAAAAAAGATTCATTTTTTTGGAGGCTCGAGACTCTTAACCATATCCATTTATTTATTATCCCAAACTTTATTTTAAACAGGCGAGAGTACGAATGAAAGACTCGTACTTTTCGACGCCCGTCTCTTCTCTTCTCCTTCTTTCCCCAGCCCTAAGGAAGGTAGATCTCGACGATGGCCGGAACCCTAGCGGGGCTCCAAGATCACCTCAAGCTCGCGCGGGAGTACGCTCTTGAGGGCCTCTATGACACCTCCATCATCTTCTTCGATGGTGCCATCGCCCAGATCAACAAGTAAGCAGCTTCTCCTCCTCCCGCCTTCCAATTTCTGCCCTGTCAAGCGCGATCCGAGGACTTGATGTTGAATCTTGCCCTTCGCATCGCAATGTATTTCCCTCACCGTTCGTAAACTTTTAATTTCAGAAAGTTACCCAATCTCCATCTTGAATTGAACCTGTTCAAGTTAGGTTTGTTGGTTCTACGTTGTCGTTTACTCGTTTAATGAATGCGTGACCATCGAACATCTTAGGTTTGTCTGATTGTCCCTAGTTTGAAGAGGATCATGGTCAGATTGATCATCCCATTTCTAGATCATTAAATAATAAAAAGTAATCGTATTATCATTAAACCTATTAGCAGTGAGTTCTATGATTCACCGAAATGAGACAAAAACAACTTTTATGTGTAAAATCAAATTAATTTTGAGACTTCTAAACTTCAATTTTTGGTTTAACCATAATTGGTTTATGAGGCAAAGTCCACATATTCAATTGCTTGAATGAATAACTTCCATAGACATAAGGTCCCAAGTTTTTGAGTTAGCTATATAGATCTTTTTCAACATTAATCTATATCGAGGGCAGTATCAATACTTCACTAGTCAAACTGAGGGTAATCGAATCATTTAATTGTTCCTTAGGTCTTCCTCTAACTCACCTCTCATGGCCAATTTAATTGGCACATCAATCATAACTAGTCATCTATTGATCTTCTTCGGTCATGTCTATTCCATCATAAACCATATTTCACAATTTATCCTCGATTACAATTACTCCCAACTGTTCATGAATGTTAATATTTCTTGTTTTTATAAAATGTTTTCTGGTAACTCGCCATGGCCATCTCAGCATTCTTATATCAATGAAACTAATATTTTGTTTATGTTTTTCCTATTTTCTAAACGTTATTATCCATAAAGCATAGTTGTGTTTACATGCTTAATATTTTTTTCAAAAAAAATACTATTCAAGTTAACAATATATTTATAAATATTTTTAACAGATATGATTTAACAAATATAAATTTAACAGATTTGATTTTTTTTATTCTTACTAAAACATGTAATTTGTGTTTATAAACTATCTTTTGCTTCGACTTACTCGAAGCCACTGATTATGTTCCTGAAGCTTAGGCGGACCTCAATTACCATCTCAGTCCACAAAATAGTGTTCCGTGCATTTATAGGCCTTCTTTTCACCCTTTTCAACAGTATGTTTCTTGCTCATTAATGAGGTTCGGCATAAATAATATAGTGGCATACCATTTTGATTTTAACTAAATTCTTCTATGCTCTGTCACTTTGGGATGAAACTATTGGAAGAAAACTGGTCACACATTTGGGTCACAACTGATCACTAATTTATGTCAAGCTTGGCATGTGATTCTTTGACAGTTTCAAGCCTGCATGGAAACTGTAAGCCTCACAAAATGTTTTCACAATGAAAACATTTTGGAGAATTATGTGGGATCTTTATATAAGGGCGGCTGTGATTGAGCTTCCAGTTTAGAATTAGGAAAATATTAATTATTCTATGATCTCTCACGTTGGGATGAAACTATCGGAAGAAGACCGGTCGCACATTTAGGTCACAACTGATCACTAATTTACGTCAAGCTTGGCATGTCATTCTTTGACAGTTTCAAGCCTTCATGGAAACTGTAAGCCTCACAAAATGTTTTCACAATGAAACATTTTGGAGAATGGGGGATTTTTATAGAAGGGAGGCTGTGATTGAGCTTCCAGTTTAGAATTAGGAAAGTACATTGTCTGTCCTTGTGCTTTATTCTTATTACTGGATCGAGGTCATTATCATCACTATCACCAAAAATATCAAGTCAGCTATACTGGTTCCCTCCTTTAGAATGAATAAGATATTAGTTTTTGAAACTTTTGATGCCTACCTTGGAATATACAATCTTCCTAATCTTTGCTTACAGGCATCTGAGCACTCTGGATGACACTGAAATTCGTGCAAAATGGATGAATTGTAAGAAGGCTATTTCCGAGGAGGTTGGCATTGTCAAACAATTGGATGCTGAATTAAGGGCTTTCAAGGAAATTCCAGGGACCAGGAGGTCCTCTTCACCCCCGATATCTGTTAAATCCTCCTTTGTTTTCCAACCACTGGATGAGTACCCAGCTTCTTCAGGTGCCTCGGATGATCCAGATGTTTGGAGACCACCAAGCCGAGACACTCAGAACAGAAGGCCCACAAGGACCACCCAAACTGGCATGAGGAAGTCCTCTCAAGATGGTACTTGGGCACGTGGTTCTTCCAGGGCAGGAACTGTTGGGCGTGGTGCTAAGGCCAGCTCGGGTAAAAGTAGTTCAACTGCCAGATCATCAGCTGCCAGTGGAAAGAAAGGAAAATCCAGCTCTAGCAAGCCAGATGCACAGGTATGAGTAAATAGGTTGTACCTCTTATCTTATATTCATGATAGCTTCTAATTGGTAGCGTCCTTGTCCTGAAAATGCTTCTTAGAAATCACAAAATTCTTGATGATTTACATGTTCAATAAAAGTGAAATATGTCATTCATCTTACATAAGATAATGTTTTCCTTCTGGTTTGTCATTCTTAGGAACCCATCCAAATTTCTTTGATAAGAAATAAATGTCATTTTCAAATCAACCTGATTGTATGTCCATTTATCTCTCTATTCTGTGTGCATTTCACAAGCATCTATTTTTGGATCTTAGAAGTTCCAGATTTAAAAATTAGCTTTATACTTCCTGCCAGCAAAATGATAGCCTTCTATAGGGTTTTTTGTGATGGGACACTGGGATAATAGCAGCTAGTAGAAAATGCATATGCATGCCATAGCAAAATTAGGGACTCAATATTTTGCATATTTTTTATTTCTGCATGTACTTGATAGTGTGACATTGACTTAAACCTAAGTATTCTAAATCATTATCCTCATTTAGTGCGCCATTGTAACATTCTTTAGTAACGTATGTGAACAAACAGATGAAATTCTCGCTCATTTTGAGTATTGAGATATGTATATCTCTTGGGTATTGCTAGACCATTAGACTGAGAAGCCATAATGTATTGCATGGAAGTTAACAGTTTAACTAAGCCAGCAAATTAAAACATAATTCATTTTAATTTTATTCAACTGCTTTGGCTAAGAAATTTTCATTAAAATGTAAGAAAATTCAAGTTCTATCTCGTGTTTATGTTTTAGTTGAGTGCCTGTTAGCTTTTGAAAATACCCACAATTTGTTTTTTTTTTCTGGTTTCATAAGTTGTCAATTATTTTACTAGACTACAAATGCACGAGAAATCATTGCTGTGGTTCTGTGACTTGTGTTAGGCTTGTCTTATTTTTTGTCATTGATTACCTTAAATCATTACAGAATGGTGATGCAGAAGAAGCAAAACCAAAAAAGGGACAGTATGAAGGACCTGATGCAGACTTGGCTGCAATGCTTGAAAGGGATGTCTTGGAGACTAGTCCTGGTGTGAGATGGGATGATGTTGCAGGACTAAGCGAAGCCAAAAGACTCCTAGAGGAAGCTGTAGTTCTTCCTCTCTGGATGCCCGAGTATTTTCAGGTACTTCTAACCAATACTAACTATAAGAGTGTTTGATCTAAAATTTCCTCCTATCCTTTATCCTAAGGAAGTTGTTACGGTGGGAAGCATATTTATGCTACTTAAATATTTAATAACTGGCTAATGCTACCTATGAAATATTTATGCATAATCCAGTTTGGTATATGTGCTCTTTTCGCAATGATGTTTTCACCTATAAATTCGTATCATTCTGCTAACTAATTCATTTATGAAGTATATAGCTTGTGGTTAATTTCAATCATTGTACCACAGAGTAAAAAGAACCAAAAGCATCATCATAGAGGTCATAAGTCATGAGGATTGTTCATAAAGCTATTCTTTAGCTGTTGCCCTTGCCTTGTTACTAGAGTAATGAATGTCTGTTTGATTCTTGGAAAGGGTGACTCACCTCACATTTTGAGATGTTATTGCTCATGATTTTGGCTACTCTTGACCAATACTGTTCAAATTTGACCTCCCAAATTATCCATCTTACAGACCTTCCAGCAAAAATGCTTTTTTGGAACTATCAAGTTTCATGTGTCGTATTCAACTGTGCTTTACAAAATTGTTACACAATGGAAAGTGGATCTTGCATGGTTGACACCATGAGAAACAAACAATTAGCTTCAGTTTGGTTAATATTCTGGACTTTTGCTTGCTTTATGTTCAACCTTCCAGATTCAACATTCTTTTAAAAGAAGAAAAGCCCCTCCTAGCTTCAACAAAAATATTGATCAGTTGTGACCTTCAAAGCTTCCATCTCTGACAAACCTCCCAGCAAATGCTTCTCTGGAGCTGCTGAGTTCCATTGGTCCTGTTTAATTTTGCAATTTACAGAAGTGTTACATATTGGAAAGTGGATTATGCAAGATTTTGATGCCATGAGAAACAAACCACTGCTTTAAGTTCAGTTTATTTTCTGGAGCTCTGTTTTATATTCAACATTCTTTTCACAAAAAAAAAAAGAAAAAAGAACTAGCTTTGACACAGATATCTGATAGAGATCACTTCCAAGTTCCTTATTCTAACTCCTATAATTTCCCTAGGGGCCAATATATTTTTAAAAAACATGCTTTTCTATAGGTGACATGTCTGACTTGGACAACCTTCCTGCTTGTCTATGCCCTGATATGCCCAAATAATGATATCTAAGAGGGAATATTTCTTTGAGTCCCTGTGCTAACATTGTGCTTGAAACCAACTATCAAGTGTATTTTCTGGAATGTGTATACTTCCATTCGGGAGCCATGATAAGTTAGGGTGTGTTTGGCATTTTTTTTTTTTGTACTTCTAAAGATAGAAACATACAAGTTTTTGTTTATGTTTTCCTTTCTTTTAAGAAGTTTGTTGATCACCATTTTCCCTTCCAGTTGTCCATCCAATTTTCTCGTTTCATCTTGTTCGATAACAGTAGTTGGTCCGAAGAAGACTATTTTTCGAACCTTCTTTTCTGTTGTGGAGGTCTAAGAATGGATGCTTTTGTTCTTGTAAAGTTCATAACATAAATCTTTACTTGAAAAAACATGAGACCAAAAAATAAAAAATAAAAGAGAACAAGAACATTAGTTGTTATGGTGAATCCTTTAGTAAAGAGTCAGGTTTGAGATCTGTATTCTGTACTCCCAAATTGACAATTGAGCTGGTTGGTTCCAAAATATTGGCAACTCTGTGAAGTGGGGATGGCCAAGAAAAGCTGGAAGGCCAGCTGGTTCATGTGTACAGCATCATAGCTTATCTTACAGTAGCCTCATAAAACTGCGATAGTCCCAACTCTTTGTGACATCAGCGATCATAGTGTTCAAAGTGTTCCATGGCATTTGAAGTTTTGATGTGTAGTTCATTAACATCACAGTTCAGTAATATGTTGTGTAGTGCTGCTGAATTATGCTATTAAGAGAATGCCATGTGCGAGGTTATCCAAATTGTCCTGTCATCTCTAGGGGATTCGACGGCCTTGGAAAGGTGTCCTTATGTTTGGTCCACCCGGTACCGGAAAGACACTTTTGGCAAAGGCTGTAGCTACAGAATGCGGTACAACATTCTTCAATGTTTCTTCTGCTACACTGGCTTCAAAATGGCGTGGAGAGAGTGAGAGGATGGTGCGTTGCCTGTTTGATCTTGCAAGAGCCTACGCTCCAAGTACAATTTTTATCGATGAAATTGATTCTCTGTGCAATTCTCGGGGGTATGTATGCCTCATCTGTGCAATTCTCTGTGCTATTATGTTAAACTTGACATTAGTTTGTTATTAATTTTGATAATAACATGCTGATGAAAGAGAGAGATTGATACATATTCTTGCTTTGTTTTACATTTTGAAGTTCTCTGCTGTGACAAATGGTCTAATGATGACATTTTGGGTTCAATCTTAATTTTTTAAATGCAATAGAGGCATGCCAATTTTAAACTCATTTTTTTCCAGGGCTTCAGGTGAGCATGAGTCATCTAGAAGAGTGAAGTCTGAACTCCTAGTTCAAATTGATGGTGTCAACAATAGCTCTACTGGTGAAGATGGTCAAAAGAAAATAGTGATGGTTTTGGCGGCTACCAATTTCCCCTGGGACATAGATGAGGCACTTAGGTGAGGCATACTTGCATATTCCTGAAGATTTTGTTCTGTAGCTCTCATTTGATAATCTGCATACTGTTTCTACCATCTTATTTATCTTGCTGAATATATAGCTCTTGACAAACTACCTTCTACCTTCCCTTCCTGATCTTTCTTTCGTTGGACTAATGCAGGAGGCGGCTGGAAAAGAGGATTTATATACCTCTTCCTAATTTTGAAAGTCGAAAGGAGCTTATAAAGATCAATTTAAGAACTGTTGAGGTATGGTTATCTGGAATGTTCATAATTTCTCGTCTCATTGCCTATTATGAGTCTATGTACACACCATTTATATTACTCATTTAGGGACTATATTATCCTAGTTAGAATTTAAGAATATGAGCTCGTGTGGTCTCGTTGGTCTCACTTTCTCTGTCCATGATAGTTGGCATGTGCCAAACTGTGCCAGCAATGCTGAGAAATAGTTAGGTGACTAGCAAGCAATGACATGCTAGTTGACTTTGCTTTTAGTTTACTATTTTCTTTCCCTTATCATTGAGGGACGATAGCAATTGTCTGAATGCTTCCACTACTGAAGGAAAAATTAAGAGTCCAATTTAGGGTGTTCAAAGAAACTGAAGTTATTGAGTCTGATGACTTAATATAGACTGAAATCATGCTTGATTCTAGTTAGTTATGCTTGTTTTTCACCTTTATTTCTCTTTAACTACTACCATAGGTAGCTCCAGATGTAGACATCGATGAAGTAGCCCGTCGAACAGAAGGTTACAGTGGAGATGATCTCACGAACGTTTGTCGTGATGCTTCATTGAATGGTATGAGGCGCAAAATTGCTGGCAAGACAAGGGATGAGATCAAGAACATGGCAAAAGAAGAGATCTCAAAGGACCCCGTGGCTATGTGTGACTTCGAAGAAGCTCTGACAAAAGTCCAGAGGAGTGTTTCTAGTGCTGATATAGAACGCCACGAGAAGTGGTTTTCGGAGTTTGGATCGGCCTAGAGGAGTGTTTCTTGCTCATTGGCACCACTATGTTTCCTTGCAAACAAATATACTTCCACTCATCAGCTGTGCAACTACAGAGAAAAAAAAAAAAAAGAATTGTCGTTCTTTGGCTGTTCTAGTGGTTGTGTGCTTGGGGTATATAAATTGTCAGCTGATCTGTTTAACGGCTGCTACGTCTAAGCTTCCTCAAGTTGTTGTAGAAATACCAGACTTGTGTTGGAAATCTTTAGTTGTGTCGTGGTGGTGGTTTGATGTTGTACTATTCATAACAAGTACAATGTTGTGTTTCAATTATATTATTGTTAAAATACTTTTTCTCAGTGAAGACGGTCACATAGTCGAGACTTTTCTTTTGGAAAGCATTGCTCTTATCATAATTTCAAATCTCATGTGTGATATAATACATGGCACTGAAATTTGTTTCTTCTTCAGAAAAATGTGCATCAAAACATCTTATATCTGTTTAAAGTTTCGGCAAATCAGATGGTGTGCTTGAATCTTGCTCTGATGCAATTCAAAATAATTGCTGATAACTCATATGGCTGTTACTTCATATATTGCCTTTAAATGTTTTTGACCTAAAAGATTAAAAAGAAAACGTAGATATTGGTTTTGAAACACATTAAATTACTGCCCACTAACAGGCTTTCTGAGATCCAGAAAACATATTTCTCCTCCCTACAGCAACAGGACTCCCCCAATTTACATCTAAGGCAGACCTGGAAACCAACACGTATGGTATAATACTAATACTTTCAGCAGCCAAATCGCAAGCAAGTTTATGCACCCTTCGTCATGCTTCATCTTCTTTGGTGATGTCCTCCTCCCTGCGATAAGCGCTCAGTCTGCACTTCTTTAGCTTTCTGCCCTCCGCAGAGGCGCAGAAGTGCAAGAAGTCGCCGTACTCGAAAGGTCGGAAGAGAGAGGGACGGTCACCGTCCACGAGCTCCGCTGGGGCTTGGATCGTTTGCTCGCTCATAGGCCTCGAAAACAGGATGGCGGAGTATCTCGCTACTGTGCCGTCCATGGCGACGCCGTGCATGGAGGCGTACACCCTCCCGTTACTCCATGCCTACTCCAACGTAATTAATATACGTGCGTTGATGAAGAAGAAGAAGAATGTTTTCAGCTTAAATATGACAACTTGTATTATCAAAACAGGTCAAGGAATCATTGACCGTACGTGGAAAGCCTCTCCTGCGATGACGAAGAAGGAAGCGACCGATCTGGGCGCGGCCAGGTGCCACTCCCCGTCCATGGCCTCCACCTGCAGCCCGTCCACCTCGTTCAACTGGCACACGATCGACAGCATGTTCGTGTCCCGGTGCGCCATGTGAGCTAGCTTCCTCTTCTCCTCCTCCCACTCGCCGGCCGCCCCGTACTCCGTGAACCGCAGCAGGTAGTACGTCGACTGCATCTGCTCCTCCGCGTACTTCGCCACGCCCAGGCTCTCCAACACCATCCTCCTCACCATCTCCTCCAACTCCGCCACTTGCTCGGTGAACGAGCGCGCCTTCTCGCTACCCAACACGTCGGAGATCGCATCGCTCAGCAGGAGACATCGATCGATGAAGGAAGAAGAAGAAGAAGAAGAAGAAGAAGAAGAAGAAGAAGAAGAAGAAGAAGAAGAAGACGGTACCAGAAATTGGGGTTTGATCCGCTGGGCCACATGAGGCTGGCGAAGTTGGGGATGGCGTGGGGAAGGGTAGCGTCCCTGATGGCGAGGCTCTCGTACGCGAGGCCTGGAAACTGGCCGAGGTAGCCGCCGTAGGGCGCATCGGAGGTATTCCTGAGCTTGGTCTGAAGAGGGAGGGACAAGAGATCCTTGGCGATCCCCAGGAGGGAAAGGCGGAGCTCGGAGGCGACCCGGTTGTACACGGCCTCGAAGCAGCCGTGGAATTCGAGAGCCGGCATCACCTGCTCCTGAACGGCGTCCCAGGCCGGCGTTCCCGCGCAAGCCATGCTGACACCGGAGAAGTCGATCATAGGGAGATGCCGTCGCATGACTGTCTCTCTTCTCTCTCTCTCTCTCTCTCCTGCTACTAATTCCATCGAGATATACCGAACCCGACTACGGTAGGGTGTTATCGGGTTGGATTTTGTATAGAATTCGGATCCAATAAGTTTATTTGTATTAATAGCGATTCGTGCTTGGCATTTCGAGTATTAGATTTGTTATCGAGTACGGATCCGGAAATCAAACCCAACCTGTTTGAGATAAGAAGACTCCGGCTTATTATTTCGGGTTATCGGGCCTCATCAACACGCAAATAATTCCATCTATTTGTATTTGATTGAAAGTGGATAGAGCACCAATCTATTTGGATTTGATTGAAAGTGGAAGGAGCACCAAATTTTGCGAGCATAGTTGGATTTGACACACACTACTATGTTGGATTCGAAGGCGCAAAAAAACACTTAAAATTCCCTCTTCCTCTTATAATCTCTCATAATATTGCTAAGGGGACTGTCCATTGCTGGGGTGGGTATATTTCTCTCTCTAGCCTTTCCTACATATACCTATCCACATGGGGGTGTTTTCACGCTGGATTTCTCTATCACAACCAACATGACGGCAGTTTTGATCCTCTAACATAACAAGCAAAATCCAGAAAGATATTATAGTTAGTGTAATATATAAAGATGACAACAAAAATTAATTTCTTGATGTCATTAATACTATCTTGAATATGAATTTAAGTTATGATAATATAAGGTGTTATTCTCAAAGTAAGATTCGGAGTTGAAAGCAAATCAATATGACTTAAAAATATCGAGAAGCTGGCGAGGGCAACTCGATTGATCATTATGAATTCGAGTAGTTGTTTTAGAATCATTATTTTCAGATATCATATAAACATTTGTAGAAGATTGATGGTGGGAATTCTCAATTAGATTCTTCTCAAACTCTAATTGAATATAAGGTCTCAAGTATAGTGTGTTGGAATAGTAAAATTAACATATATTTGACTTATCAAATCTAAATGCAAGTAAAAAATTTAGACTAACATTACTTCTTCTTTTTTTAATAATAATTATGAGGAGAGAGTAAAAGAGTTGAGGAAAAAGTTCCTCTTATCTGTCCGTGCAAAGTCTCCAAACAGTAAAAAGGAGAATTGAGGTTTTTCTCTTTTTTAAGTTTCAACAATCCCCCATAAAAAAACTCAAGTTTCCTTCAAATAAATAAAATAAAATAATTAAAAAAAGATTATTAAGAATCTGAATCAGAAGATGAGACACGGTGAAAATATGATCACTTAGTAAACTAGGGGGTGATGGATCCAAACGCCAGGAGACTGCAGAGCTTCCATTATGGCTTGAAGACAGAGACCATAAACCACTAAAAACCGTGAGTCACATGACCAATTCGTTCGTACCATCCTGTCACAAGTTCAGATATACAAGTGTGCAATATAAGGAAAACTACACTCGGATATGCGCACAACCAAACATCATCATGTACACCACATGCACGCCCATAAAAGTTGAAGAGAGAGAGAGAGAGAGAGAGAGAGAGAGAGAGTAGTTTCTAGTAGTTAACAGCACTA